TTTCCAAAGCTAAATATTAACTTGATTGAGTAAGACCAAAGTGTGCCTTGATCTCCAGTATTAGCATATGAAAGGGCTGACAGGCCCTTAGATCCCTACCCTCCCAGAGGTACAAGTTGTGTCTTTAAATTCAGGGAACATTTATTAATGGTCGTGAACACTCCATAATCAAATATCAATCTGTTACTTAAACAATGTGCTTAATTGTTAGGAACAGAATTACATGTAAAACTCATCAACCTCCAAAGCATTCTACTCTACTGGGACGTTAACTAGACTCAAGTCAGAACACAGGCAGTTCATAAATACATATCAAATAACATGAGCATTCTATCTCTTATAAACAACACTGGTTAAGCCAATTCAACAGTTTCATGGTTTAGAAAAAGCCTTACAGAGATCTTACACTCTTGATAAAGGACAAAGGGAAAATGTAGGTTCTTTACAGAATGCAAACTGGGAGGCCCACAGCAGAGGTAGTTTGTGTTTTCCATGCTTGGCGCTTCTTTTACAAGACTGCTGATCTGAGATTATCACTTTGCAAGTCTAGGGGGAGTCTTTGTCCCGCACAGCTTGCATCTACAACATTCAGACATTCACTGCAGCAGGGTAGGGATTCACTCAGTTCCCTGACACCTTGAGCCTTCTAGATGTCCCACCAAAACCTCACTCTTGGGTCCAAAACTAAACTTGCCCATAGTGTTCCTGCCTCAGTGCTTCTCACCTCTGTGAGTAGGACCACTCAAGTAAGCCAGAAACTTGTAGACTCATTCCTAAGAGCTCTCACTCCTTCACCCAACTCCCAGATTCAATCCAGTCCAGCAAGTCCTGATGAGTGAACATGCAAATCAGATGTAGTAAAAGGAATCAGTCTCTTCCTTAAAATCCTCCAGTGGCTCCCTACTGTCCAAGAAATACAAGGCAGCTCCCCAAATTGATGCCTGCAGAGGCTAGCTCTCTATCCCTCCTCCTCTGAAGGTCCCTGCCTTCTCCTTTTAGGGTTAACCCTCAAAGCCCAATCTAAGTCCTCTTCTTTTAGGAAAATGTTCTGAAGATCTTATCTACCCCCCAACACACACCCCCTCAGATAAACTGGTCACTCTGTCCTCTGTGATACAAAGTGACTCCATCACTCGTTAAAGTACAAAGCAAAGCACATATAGTTATGGCAATTTATTTGCAAATTTCTCTGCTCCACTAGTCTATGGAAGCCCTAGAAGAACTGCCTGTGCCTTTATTCACATTTGTTTTCCCCATACTCTGACTCAGAAAGTGACTGTAACAGTGTGAATACCTATCAAATGAGATGTTTGAGACTAAAACCAGGAGTTAAACTACACTTTTACCCCAAATTTTACTGACATTAACCAACTGCTTTTACCCCATAATCCTAATTATCAACTTTCAGCTAATTTAAGAGTAGGATGATTGTAGTACAGTTCATTCTTATCACGAAAACCTAAGTACCTGTGAAATGCTTTGCTAACAGGTGTACACAGAAAAGTCAGTCATTAAATGACCACTCCCCACCAGCTCCTGCCTTGGGGGAGGGCGGTGTTAAGAACAACCCACACACAGGTTCTCTGGTGATGACAGAAAGTGCCAGTGCACCCCCACTACCCCTGCCACTTCTATCCCAGTGGAAGTGCTAAGCTAAGGTCAAAGGCAGAAACCTCCTTAAGGAATAACTGGGACTGGGGAGGACTCATCACTAAGCCCAGGGACCTCAACAGCCTGAGTATTCTCAAAGTCATGAATACAATACTTTCTGCCCATCCCCTGGATTTTAGTGGAAAAGGGCTTTCTTTGCTGTCTGTTTTAACACCTCAATGCTCCCTTGTCTTTGAGAACAGGCCAAAAACAAAACAAAACAAAAATACCATAAAACTACTTCAGACGTAACTGGGCTTTTTTTTTTTTCTTCTAGAACAAGGACTTCAGTTGGCAGTACTTTTCTAAATGTGATGACTGCTCATGCCTTCTGGCATAATTTAAATAAACTGGCTATCTATCTGAAAAACTAATTCTTAAAAACAAAAGAAACTGATGATTATTCAGAAAATTACATACAATTCTTCTTGCATTAGCAGCCTGAGTAAGAAAAGGACCCTGCTAAGAAATCCTTCCACCTTTGGGGGTGAACTTTCAGCCTCCTTCTGTTTTTCTATTCAGAATTGAGCAACTAACTTCAAAATAAAAGAAAATAATAAATAGGGCTAAAGTGGGAGTTCAAATTTCTATTACTGTGCTATTTTATTTACCCATGAAGACACAAAACATAATAAAGATCTTTCTCAAATCTGTTTTAAAATACTTTCCTAATTGAAGTACCAACATTTGTAAGGTGAGACCCCAAAAGAAAGTCATTTGGTAGTTTTTTTTAAAAAAAAAAAAGCAACCAGGGGGCCAGTGTTGTGGCATAGCCCCACTGCCAGTATCCCATATGGGTGCTGCTTCCAGTCCCAGCTGCTCCACCCCTGATCCAGCTCCCTGATAACGCACCCGGGAAGGCAGCCGAGGATGGCCCAAGTGCTTGGGCCCCTGCCACTCATGTGGGAGACCTAGAAGCTCCTGGCTCCTAGCTTTGGCCTGGCTCAGCCCTGGCTGTTGTGGCCATTTGGGGACTGAAACAATGGGTGGAAGATCTCTCTCTGTAGTTCTGCCTTTCAAATAAATAAATCTTTAAAAAAAAATACCACCATGAAGTGTAAAGCCAAGTGCCCCTCCCAGGTCATTGCTACACTACCCACTAGGCTCACCAACCACCCGAGGCCTCCTGTGGCAGGGAAGGGTTACCTCAAGCCACTGAGCTACACAAAGTTCATTTTAATTTTAAATTATTTACACATGTAATAACATCATGCCCCAGACAGAAACCTAAGGTGATTAAATAGCCTGCCTGCTCATGCTGCTGGTCCAGTGTCAAGCAACCAAGTGTCAAGAACCAGAGAGCTTATCTTCTGCTATCTGAAATAGAAAGAGGAAAAATTCCACCCTTTGTGGAGTTTATCACTGTGCATGAGGGTTTCAAAAGGTATAAGAGGAAATTCATGGATTTTTTTTTGTGGTTAAAAGCTTTATCTTTTAATTCAATTTTCCCACAAACTTCCTAGAGCTCCTGTAGCAATGCAAATTTCCCTGCTTAGATAATAACATTTTTCCCTGCTATCCCTTCCTCCTGGTTGCAAAGAACTGAATAAGCCCCAAGAAAAAGGTGGGAAGATATCAGGGGACCTGGCCTTAGGGGTTCCTCCTTTCAGGTTTTGCTTCCACCTGAGAAATGTTTGTGAGTCCATTTGTGGCCCTTGCTTTTCAGTAAGGAGCAAAATGTCTTGCAATTTACAAAAAAAAAAAAAAAAAAAACACTCACTGCCCCTACTGTTCTCACAACCTGGGAATCACTTAGTGCTTTTTGTCCTCTTTCCAGTTTGCCAGCCACTAACCTCTCCACCATCACAGCATTTAGATTTTAAAATACTGAAGAATTCACGTTGCCCTATTCTCTTTTTTCCTCTCAGGTATTTCCATTTTCAAGCCCCTAGCACCTGGCTTCACAACAGTTTTCACGTCAGAGACCAACAGTGTAACTCTTTACAAGCTCGATGTGAATTTACCAAATAAGCCAGTACGTATTTGTGTAAAACTGCGACTGGGGAACACTGCAAAACAATTCATTTAAATTCTCTAACTGTACAGAAAGTTCACCTGGTCTAATTAGTACAAGAAAACTGCATTTCTTAAATACACGGAAGTCCGAAGCGCCAGAGCCACCGCCAGCACCTGCAGCGCCTGCAGCACCTGCAGCGCCTGCAGCGCCCCAAGCCATGCTGCGGCGTCGGTGTCGTCGGTGTCGGTGTCGCACTCCCATTCCCACTCCCACTCCACCACCCAGCTACCAGTTCTAGAACAGGACACTCTGTCGTGCATTGCTACGCAAAGAATTCTAGACCCCCTGGGCTCCTTCTCTCTCTCCATATTTGTCCAGGTTCTTTAAAAAATAGTCCCAGAGTCACTTTTCATAACCGCAAGTTGCTCTAGCAGCCGAAAAATTGTGTTCTCAAAACTGCCCTGCGACTCAGCCACTTTTGGGAGCCCTCTTACTTATAACGGGGTGCTTGTCTGCATACGCAGGTAGAAAATGGAATTAAGCAAGCTTATTTTGGTACAAAACTGTTAGAAACCCATGCATCCGTGGAGTCTACAAAGAACGGAATAGAAATTCTGCAGATATTGGGCACGGACTTCAACACCTAGGCTTCCGTCTTATTTATTCTCGCTCTGGCCACGAACATGGGGCGCAGCTCTCATGCTGGCACAATCCATTTTATAAGAAGGTGTTTTCTGAGAATGCTACAGGTTCTATGCCCTTGCTCTATTATGTGCTCAAGCACAAAGCCCAGCGCAAACCTTTCGTTACTCGAAAGCCAAAAAGCAACCACAAACATGAGCAAACACCTTAAGTGGCTCCTTTAGAAACCTGCTAATGCCCCCTCAGAATTCCAAAATTTCAGATTTCACAAGGTACCAAGGGCTCGATATACTAAAAGCTGAAAAAAGTTCTCAATGCCTCGCCAACCATGGTCCCAGCCCCCACCCCCGCCCCCCACCCCCGCCCCGTGGCCGCCGCCGCCGCCGCTGCCTCCTCCTCGGTGCGCTTGGGCTTTGCCAATTGCTAGTTGCTTGCCTCTCAACTCCGGACACATACATGCCAGAAAATTTCCAGAAGTTTCCAAAGAAAAGTCAAGGGGTGCCTCCTAAGGCACCTCAGATGGCTCCCGGCAGGAATATCAAAATGCGGCGGCTTCGCCCCCTCACCCTGACATATCGGCCCGCGAGTCAGCCAAATTTCTCTGGGTGTTGAGGAAAACGACAGCCCCGAAAAGACTGTGCAGATACTGCAAGTCCCTCCTGTGAGGGAGCAAAGGCGCTCCCCACTGCCACGCAAAGACTTTTACCTCAAAGGCTTTTACCTCAAAGGCTTTTACCTCAAAGGCTTTTACCTCAGAACAGGCTGACCTGTGGCACACCAGCCTGGAACCCAGGAGCCCTCACAGAGTGTCTGCTGTGGCCCAGGGGTTTAAGAGAGGAAGCACCTGTGGTGGGGAGTGGAGGATGAGGGGAGGCTGGAGCCCCTCCGGGTGGGTGCCTCGGGTCCCCTGTGAAAGACCAGAGAGGCGTGGTGTCTCAATCAACATAGAATGAACTCCCCAAAGGCAAATCTCCCAGGGTGCACTTCAAGGAGGGGGCTGGGGGAGGGCTCAGGAAGGGGGGTGCTGGAGGGTTTCGAGAGGGGCGGTGCCCCCACACAGAGCGTTTGTTGGGGCATTTCTGCCTAAGCTCCTAAATGTCGGGTCCCACACATGTCTTCCTGGACAGAAGGCGCAGGGAAGTCCCTTCTACACCCCTTAGCTTATTGAATCACAAAGTTGTACTCCCGCCCGGGCCTGGCCCCCCTTCCCACTAGTTCCAGCTGAACAGCACGTGGTGTGAAGTGTGGCAGCTAGAAGATGGGGCTCTTTTGAGTCTCATTTGGACTCCATTGTGGAGCTAGAGAAACTGGCCACCTACCCTGATTAATAGGACCATCGCAGCCTTGGGGGAGGGGGGAAGGACTCAAAGATTGATACTAAAACCGCAGTGCTGCCGAGAGGGCAATCATAAATTCCTCCTAATCTGCCATCACATGAAACCAACGGCAAGGCCAGCTTTCCCTCACACTTCCCCATGCACCCTCCTGCTCTGCCTTTGCTGGGAGACACGCCCCGCACTTTCTTATATTACACATGATGTGACTCTGCCAGTCTCTTCCAAAGATTCACGGGGAAGACAATTCCCCAGCCTTCCTCCTTACACACATGTATCATCCTCAGTGAGGAACCGATTTAACACCACATGGTGTTTTCTCAAGCTGATCGACTGTGTGACACATCAAAAAGGCCTTCAGAGTTGAAAGATTCAAAAGCAATTTAATTCTGCTTTAGCATTAAATGTAAGGTAAATAAATTAAATATTAATCTGTTTAATATTGAACTTTGTTCACAGTAGTGAACAAACCTTCCCCATCAGACAAGGATGAAATGTGGCAGAAAGGCCCCTAAACTTTTCAATCTCCTATTCAGTCTTGGGATTTCAAAACCAGACCACTCTGACAGACAGGCTTTGAATATATGATTTTTTCCATATGAAAATTGAAAACTGGGGCCAAAAAAAAAAAAAAAAAACATGTCAGTAAAAATCAAGGAATTGGGGCCAGCATTGTGGCCTAGTGGGTAAAGCTGCCACTTGCAATGCCAGCATCCCATATGGACGTGAGTTCAAGTCTCAGCTGCTCCAATCTAGCTCCCTGCTAACAGGCCTGGGGACGCAGTGGAAGATGGCCCAAATGTTTGGGCCCCTGCACATCTGTGGGAGATCCAGAAGAATCTCCTGCCTCCTGGCTTGGGCTTGGCCCAGTCTCGGCTGATGCAGCTATTTGGGGAGTGAACCATCAGATGGAATCTCTCTCTGCCTCTCTATCTCTGCCACTCTGCCTTTCAAACAAATATTTTTTACTGGAAGATTATTTCTGAAACCTTCGTGAACGTGAAAAATAAGCTCTTAAACTCAGTTCTAGAAGGCATTCATTTTAAAACAGCATGGGTTTGGGGTTGGCATTGTGGCATAGCAGGTAAAGCCACCACCTGTGACTCTTGCATCCCACATGAGCACTGGTATGAGACCGAGCTGCTCCACTTGAAATCCAGCTCCCTGCTAATGTGCCTGGGAAAGCATCAGAAAACGGCCCAAGTCCTTGGGCCCCTGCACCCACGTGGGAGACCTGGATGAAACGCCTGGCTCCTGGCTTCAGCCTAGCATAGCCCCAAGCCATTGCAGCCATCTGGGGAGTGAATTAGCAGATGGAAAATTTATTTCTCTGTCTCTCCTTCTCTCTCTCCTTCTCCTTCTCTCTCTCCTTCTTCCTCTCTCTCTCTCTCCCCACTCTCTCTAACTATGTCTTTCAAATTAATAAAAATAAATATTTTTTAAAAACCAACATGGATTTTCTTTTAAATAGAACATTCTGATTTGTAGCTTGTGTCTACAACTTTTAGGTAGCACAAACTAATTCTAATTGTTTTTAAAGCTTCAGCAAGGGATGACATATGAAAATAACCAGGAAACAATAGAGCAAAAATTGTTTAGTGAAGTCTTCATGTAATACTTCTAAAATCCTCAACCACACTGTTGTGTGTTGAGCAAAGAAACCAGGTTGCCCCTTCCTTCACTGTCGTTCATGTCTTGTTCTTAACCAAATCTCTTCTCTTCTCTCAGTGCCAGATTACATGCAAGGGGGTAATGACAGCATGCATTTTGTAATGTTTGTCACTTTCAGAGTGTACTTTAATCAGGCAATTACTACTGAGTTGTCAGAGAGCACACTAAAAAGACCTTTTTCACATGCATTACTCTGGACAATGCTTCGGCCAAGTTTGTCCAGAAACAAGGAATGGCTCTCACCCCCAAAATAAAGAGATTAACAACAGCACTGTAGAACAGGAAGAGTATGGGCTCGAGTGCTCAAGTATAAATCATGATTGTTCTCCCTCTCTCTCTCTCTCCATATCTCTGCCTTTGAAATATGCTGAAAATAAATATGTTTTTAAGAATGCCTGGCTCAGGAAGCCGGCGCTGTGGCATAGGGGTAAAACCACCACCTGCAGTGCTGGCATCCCATAAGGGCACCTGTTCAAGTCCTGACTGCTCCACTTCCCATCCAGCTCTCTGCTATGGCCTGGGAAAACAGTAGAAAATTACCCAAGTTCTTGGACCCCTGCACCTGTGTGGAAGAACTGAAAGGGGCTCCTGGCTCCTGGCTTTGGATCAGTGCGGGTCCAGCCGTCACAGCCAATTGGGGAGTGAACCAGCAGATGGAAGATCTCTCTTTCTCTGCCTCTCCTTCTCTCTCAGTGTAACTCTAACTTACTTTCAAATAAATAAATAAATCTTTTATATTAAAAAAAAAGAATGCCTGGCTCAGGACTGGGGCTGTAGCATGGTACGTTAAGCATCCATCTGCAGTGCAGGCATTCCATATGGGCGCTGGTTGCTCCACTTCCAATCCAAATCTCTAATGATGGCCTGGGAAAGCAGTGGAGGATGGCCCCAGTGCTTGGGCTCCTACACCCACATGGGAGACCTGGAAGAAGCTCCTGGCTTCAGATTGGCCCAGCTCCCGCCATTGTGACCATTTGGGTAGTGAACCAGTGAGCCAGTAAATGGAAGCTCTCTCTCTCTCTCTCTTTCTCTCTCTCTCTCTCTTATAGATTTTTTTAAAGATTTATTTATTCAGTTGAAAATCAGAGTTACACAGAGAGAAGAGAGAGAGAGAGAGAGAAAGAAAGCGAGAGAGAGGTCTTCCATCTGATGGTTCACTCCCCAGTTGGCCACAAAGAGCTGCGCTGATCCAAAGCCAGGAGCCAGGAGCTTCTTCCTGGTCTCCCATGTGGGTGCAGGGGCCTAAGGACTTGGGCCATCCTCCACTGCTTTCCCAGGCCATAGCAGAGAGCTGGATCAGAAGTGGAGCAGCCGGGACTTGAACCAGCGCCCATATGGGATGCCAACGCTTCAAGCCAGGGCATTAACTGACTGCGCCACAGCATCGGCCCTCTCTCATACACATACTGTATGTGTGTGTGTGTGTGTGTGTGTGTGTAACTCTGCCTCTCAGATAAGTAAATATATCTAAAAAAAAAAAAAACAAAAACAGAGAGTGCCTGGCTCAAGTCCCAGCTACTCTGTTTCCAATCCATCTTCCTCCTAATGTCTACTCTGGAAGGCAGCAGGTGATGGCTCAAGTACATGGGTCCCTGCCACACACAAGGGAAACCCAGATGGGGTTCTGGACTTTAGTATTTTCCAGCCCTGGGTGTTGTGGGCATTTGGGAAGTGAGACTCTCCCTTTCAAATAAAATGAAAATTAATAAATAGATACATTTTTAAAGTGCAAGCTTGTCATGGAGAATGCACTGAACATCTCTGAAGTCATGGTGTCTTTTTCTGAACAATGGGCCAATCAATAAACAGTATCTGCCTCACAAAGGTAGGATGATTCCATGGAATCATACAAAACACTTAGCATAGTACTTGGCAAGAAGGACATCCTGGTCACTGCGGCTGCAATTTCCATTAGGAATCACAATACAATATTTGCCACAGGCAGGAAGGACTTCCAGCTGTCCATCCTGCCTGAACATAGGAAGCAGGGGTTGGGGAACTTCCATCTGAGATGTTACGGATTTTGCTTGGAGGTAGCATCTCACCTCTGGTCTTTCTCATAGGAGACAAATCTCTGAAGAAACTCCCTTAAAGACAAAGAACCAAGAGATGTAAGGTTTTATCTCTATGTAGTCATCAAACTGCCAAATGTTGGGGCCAGCACTGTGGCATAGTAGGTAAAGCCACAGCTGTCCAGGTTAGCATCCCATATGGGCACTGGTTTGTGCCCAGCTGCTCCACTTCTGATTGAGCTCCCTGCTAATGGCCTGGGCAAAGCAGAGAAAGAGGGCTGCACCCACATGGGAGACCCTGAAGAAACTTCGTGATCCTGGCTTCCATTGAGGCTATGTGGGGCATGAACCACTGGCTGCAAGATTCTCTCTCTCTCTCTTGCTCTCTCTCTCCCTGTAACTCTTTAAAATAAATAAATAAATATATATTTTTTTATTTTTGACAGGCAGAGTGGACAGTGAGAGAGAGAGACAGAGAGAGAAAGGTCTTCCTTTTGCCATTGGTTCACCCTCCAATGGCCGCCGGTGCAGCCGGCGCACCGCGCTGATCCGATGGCAGGAGCCAGGATCCAGGTGCTTTTCCTGGTCTCCCATGGGGTGCAGGGCCCAAGCACCTGGGCCATCCTCCACTGCACTCCCTGGCCATAGCAGAGAGCTGGCCTGGAAGAGGGGCAGCCGGGACAGAATCCGGCGCCCCAACCGGGACTAGAACCCGGTGTGCCGGCGCCGCAAGGTGGAGGATTAGCCTATTGAGCCACGGCGCCGGCCAAAATAAATAAATAAATATTTTTATTAAAAAAACTATCAAATATTTGCTTTATCTACAAATGCGCAAAGTCTCATATTTTCACATAAATAAATAAATATTAAAAAAGAA